GGTTATATTGAAGAGAAACGGAATCAAAATAGAGGAATGGCCAGAAAAAAGTGAAATGAGGATTTGTAAAGACACACACAAATAAAGGAGGCAACACACAGGAAACAAATACAAGAGAGGAAAGATTTACTAAGGACAAGTGAAGTTGGAAGAATTGAGGACTTTCTAAGCCCTAGGATCTGATCTTGACACTTTCCAGCCCAAGATTAACGGCTTTCTACTACCTGTAAAACAACAGAGTCCTCTTAGGCTGGCCTGCTTCCAAACCACCAGTAGTCCCCAAAATCTTCATGCTGAACACTTGTGCATAACTCTCTAAAATGTGAACATTTGAGTCTTCAGACCCTGGTTCCCTACAAGGACCTTGAAAGTCAACGCCCCTGCCAGGATGGTTATATGGAAATGGCTTGTGTAGTATCAAGCAGAGAGTAATGCAACTCATTACATTATGTTTCTTTCCTGTTGTCCAGGCCAGTATGTTTCCTAAATTCAGACTGTTGCTGTAGTTAATGACATAAGTAACAGATGATTGATCTAATTTTTTTTTTCTCTAACCTTACACAAACTCTTCTGGCCTTGTTCCCCATGCCAGGGTCATGTTGGATTACACACTCCTTCTTTCAAACTCCTCTAGCATTTTTCTACAAGGCATTGATTCTCTATTTAAGCAGTAATCTTGTTCCACTAGCCCAGAAGATCATGAGCATTTCCAAGGAAGTTAACGTAGCTTAATGACCCCAGCATCCCTAAGCCTACTGCAGTGTCTCCCACATTTCAGTTTCTCAAAAATGTCTGATATCTTAGTGAGGACATTACTGCTCACCGTTGTCAAAATTAACCCATAAACCTTGATGTATCTGAACTATTTAAAGACACATGGAGTTTCTCAGATCAGAAGATGCAACTGGTAATCATTTTGAAACTTGAAGGGCCAGGCGCGGTGGCTCACGCCTGTAATCCCAGCACTTTGGGAGGCCGAGGCGGGTGGATCAGGAGGTCAGGAGACCGAGACCATCCTGGCTAACATGGTGAAACCCTGTCTCTACTAAAAATACAAAAAATTAGCCTGGCGTGGTGTCAGGCGCCTGTAGTCCCAGCTACTTGTGAGGCTGAGGCAGGAGAATGGCCTGAACCCGGGAGGTGGAGCTTGCAGGGAGCCTAGACAGCGCCACTGCACTCCAGCCTGGGCAACAGAACAAGACTCCGTCTCAAAAAAAAAAAAAAAAAGAAACTTGAAGGCTGGGTGCAATGGTTCATGCCTGTAATCTTAGTATTTTGGGAGGCCGAGGTGGACAGAACTCTTGAGTCCCGGAGTTCAAGACCAGCCTGGGCAACATGGCAAAACCCCATCTCTACTAAAAATACAAATAATTAGCAGGTATGGTGGTGCACGCCTCTAGTCCCCACTATTCTAGAGGCTAGGTTGGGAGAATCACCTGAGCTGGGAGTTCAAGGCTGTGGTGAGCTATGATTGTGCCACTGCATTCCAGCCTGGGCAACAGAACGAGACTCTGTCTGGAAGGAAGGAAGGAAGGAAGGAAGGAAGGAAGGAAGGAAGGAAGGAAGAGAAACTTGAAACTTGAAGCATGTGAAAGGATAAACAGAAAAGGAATTCTCCTATGTGTTTTATAACTTATAATTCTGGCAAGAATATAAAATTATGAAATATAAACTATAAATGATTTGGATCGATGGGACAGAGAGTGGAATTAGAGAAATTTATAATCATAATAAGCCATTACATTTGATACTTTAAACCACATTTGTTAAATGCCAAAAATGTAGTCTGGGGAACATCAACCCCTGAAGGGCTTCAGGAAAAACATTTCATGGTCAAAAATAAGTTGGGTTAACACTGCCTAACACAGCCTCCTTGGGAGAACCACCAATGTACCGGATGGTGAGAAAGACTCCATGCCTGCAGTCAAGAAATCTGTTTAACCTTGTTGAACCTCATATTGCTCTTTTTCTTTCTTCACAGTACCTATTAAAATTCCATGTAACTTGTACTCTACAGAATATATTTAGGGAACAGTATTCTAAACATCTTAGAGACTGAGGCAGGATATGTGGAGAATTACTATTTTCATTCTACAGGAGGTAGCTAAGACTTAAGAAAATCAATTTCTCCAGTCTCACACAGATTCTAAACAATGGAGCCATTTATTAACGAATTCCATATTCAACATTTGTTGTTTCATACACGTCAGGCACTGTGCTAGGCACAAGGCTGACATTTCTAGAATTCTAGACTATTAGAACTAATAGGTACATACCAGACCATTTGGCGCAACCCCCTCATTTTCAGAGAGGAAAGGAAGTTTCAGAAAAGGTAAACAACTCAAGGCTCTCCAAAAAAAAAAAAAAAAAAAAAAAAAGGGGGGTGGAGCTAGAATTCAAATCTAGGGCATTTGTCTCCAAGTCCTGTGCTTTTCATAGTATACCCCTCTGTCTCCAGATATGCTCACACAATATAAAATCTAATGCCTGGAAATCTTTCCAAGAGCTCAAGTGTTTCTTGGTCCTATGATAAAGCTAGCATAAACCCAGATGAGGATGGTATTCTCTCTACTCAGAAAATACTAAGGAATATTTGCATTTTTAATCATTTCCCTGACATATTTAACAAATTGGAAGACATTTAGCTATTTCCATGAGCAATCTTAGTACTTTTTAATGAACTATAAATACATTTCTAAAACCAAATGTGCATTTTTTGCTATAAATTTCTCAGTTTAATGTCCTAGGTAGCTGCAAATACTTTCATTTTTGGAAATTCATGTTGGAACATGAACTTTTATGAGCCTCAGGTTTCCCTATAGGAAAGAGGTCTTCATCTCTTGTTTGTGGATCTGATGAGGAATTGTGTCCCAGAAAAAAATGCCTGTTAAGACACAGTGTCACCCACCATTTCATGGGGCTCTCAAACTCACTAAAACTCTTGCTATAGAATGTGACACTGTAAAAAGTCTTCTACGTATCTGTTTACTTCAACTCTTGATTTCGTGTCTGTCCAACTTCTATTTGGGTGTTGCAATCATGAAGTTAGAAATAGGTGAAAATATGGGTCCTGGAGCCAAGAGTAATTAAGGTTTACTTTAAAGTATCCCCACAACAGTGACAATAATTATAATACTAATTAAGAGCAACAACAAACACAAATCCCTAAAACAGATATTTGCATATGATTCAACTGTGGTTTCTAGAACCATGGATGGAAAGTGGGGCACACTTTTGTTCTCCAGCTCTGTCCCAAGACCTACCAAGAGAGGATATAGATGTGAGGTCGGGGGTGGTGGGAGGGGTAGAGGGGGTGAGGTTGGAAGTTAAGGAAAAGCATAAAGAGAAACAAAAGGAAGTCTTTGTTAGAAATTCTGGATCAGTTACAAAGATAAGGGAATCTCTATTCCCTCTCCTCTGCTTCTGATAACTCAGATTCCTTATCACCCAGAATCAGGCAGACGGGATTGACTTTTTCATGACTTGGTACTGGTCTAGTCACCTTTTCAAACAAGTTCTAGTGAAAATATCTTAAATGTTAATAAAGGAAGACAAGGAAGTAAACAATGATACGTATGGAAAATCAGTATTAAACAAGTCATGTATGCCTATAATTCCAGCTACTTGAGAAGCTGAGACAGAAGGGTTGTTCGAGGCCAGTAGTTTGAGACCAACCTGGGCAACATTGTGAAACCCTCCTCTCAAAAAACATTTTTTTTTTCAATTAGCCAGGAGTGATGGCACATGCCTGTGGTCTCAGCTTCTCAGGAGGCTGACGCAGGAGGATCACCTGAGCCCAGGAGATTGAAACTGCAGTGAGCTATGATGGTACCACTGCACTCCAGCTCGGGAGACCAGGCAAATCCCATCTTAAAAAAAAAAAAAAAAAAAAGTCAGTTGCCAAAGAAAATGTGAAATGAAGTCACTCTATTTTTAGTGCATGTATGGTATTTACAAAATAGGAGGAGAAGAGGCCAGGCTGTTTACGCCTGTAACCCCAGCACTTTGGGAGGCAGAAGCGAATGGATTGCTTGAGCCCAGGAGTTCGGGACCAGCCTGGGCAACACAGCGAAGCCCTGTCTCTACATACACACACACACAAATACAAAAATTAGCTTGGTGTGCCTGTGGTCCCAGGTAGGCAGGGAGATCACTTGAGCCCAGGAGTTCAAGACCAGCCTGGGCAACACGGCAAAACACCATCTCTACAAAAAATACAAAAATTAGCCGGGTGTGTTGGCATGCGCCTATGGTCCCAGCTACTTGGGAGGTTGAGGTGGGAGAATCACTTGAACTCGGGAAGCTGAGGCTGTAGTGAGCAGAGATCTCATTACTGCACTCCAATCTAGTTGACAGAGCCAGACCCTGCCTCAAAAAAAAAAAAAAGAAAAGAAAAAGAAAAAGAAAAAGTAGAGAAAGAAAGAAAAGAAAAGAAAAGCAAGGAAGGAAGGAAAGAAAGAAAAAAGGAAGAAGACAAGAAGGCAAGGAAAGGCAAAGGAAAGGGAAGAAAGAAAGAAGAGGAAAAAGAAAAAAGGAAGAAGAGCATGCTGTATTCCACAAGAGAACAATATCATCTGGATTCCAGCACATTCCAGTTAGACATGAATCTGAGTTAAAACTATCACTACAGCAAATAAGGTTGTATGAGGACTTGCGCATAAAAGAGAGTCAATTTATGGCCAAATAAATTATCATGGGTTTTATCATACCATCTAGCCAAAGTGAGGGCAACCTGAGTCAAGCCAACTTTTAAAGAGAATGGAAGTAGAAATTTCTTTGCATCAGTCTCTAAGTATGGGAGTCTGGTAAGTAAAGACCCACTCCAATCAGAGGTCTTGCCGTCTCTTCTTAAAAGCCCTCAGTCAGCTGTCCAGCTGAAGCTCTGGGGGAGAGGAATTTACCCAGCGAACCCTCACCAATTGCCTTCCAGGTCTCCGCATGTTAATAGTCAAGACTTCATAGCCCAATGTTGAAGGCAGATTTTTATAGCAAGTACGTACCTGTGGCAGTTTCACATCATTAATATCCCAGCTTAATATCTCTTTGTCTTCAGAATCAAAGTCATCAGGTTCCATGATAAGGTCAGGCCAGCCAAGGTTTTCACCTATTCGACTCCCCTCAGAAGTGCTTGAGAATTTTGTTCTCAAAGGTTCTTGATATAGCTGGATCGGCCCACTCAAGTACCTTAGACCAGGAGATTGTTTTCTAGGGCTAAAAACCAAATTATATTAGTATTGGCCATTAAAGAGATTTAAAAAAATCAGTGCTCCTCTGCCAGAAAAACCTGTTTCACTGACATTTTTGCAAGTACCAACATACTAATAAAAAACAAAACGTAGGAGCCATTAGTGATTTTACTTAAAACTTGGCCATCGGGAATTACAAGCATGTGATCATTGCTTTCACCCTTGGGTTTGGGCTTGCTTTCTCATTGCAAGATCCAGGTTGTGAAGGCCTTAGCAGAGACCGTTGCCATCTGTAAACAATGGCTAGGACCTTTTTCTGCTAGGGCAGGAGGATACTAGCTTGGAGTTGTTTCCACAGAAATGCCTTCATAAATTAGCTAATGTAAATTAATAAATAATTAGTAAATAATAGTAATTATTACTAGTAAATTTTTTACTAGTAAAATTATTTTACTAAATTAGTAAATAATTAGTAAATAATAAAATAAATAAAAATATATATACATATTTTTTTTTTTGAGATGGAGTCTCACTTATTCACCCAGGCTGGAGTGCGATGGTGTGATCTCGGCTCACTGCAACCTCCGCCTCATGGGTTCAAGCAACTCTCCTGCCTCATCCTCCCTAGTAGCTGGGATTACAGGCATGTGCCACCACACACAGCTGATTTTTGTATTTTTAGTAGAGACGGGGTTTCACCCTCTTGGCCAGCCTGATCTCGAACTCCTGACCTCAAGTGATCCACCCACCTCAGCCTCCCAAAGTGTCGGGATTACAGGCGTGAGCCCCTGCACGTGGCCAGAAAAAAATATATTTGAAAATCCAAATCACCATAAAGATTAGTTTTGGTCTCTGCAATAAATCCTGTGTGCACTATATATCTTCAAATATTATCAACTAACATGCTTATATCTGATTTATCTGAAACAGGGTTACTTAACCTTGGCACTATTGACATTTTGGACCAGATAATTCTTTGTTGTTGGGAGCTTTTTGCATGTTGTAAACTGTTTGGCAGCATCCCTGTTCTCTACCCATTAGGTTTTAGCAACTTGTAATCCCAACACTTTGGGAGGCCAAGACAGATGGATCACTTAAGTCTAGGAGTTCAAGACCAGCCTGCGAAACATGGAGAAACCCTGTTTGTATAAGAAGTACAAAACACTAGCTGGGCATGGTGTTGCGTGCCTGTAGTCCCAGTTACTTTGGGAGGCTGAGGTGGGAGGATTACCTGAGCCCAGGAGGTTGAGGCTGCAGTGAGTCAAGATTGTGTCACTGCAAGCCAGCCTGGGTGACAGAGTGAGACCTTGTCTCAAAAAATAAGTAAATAAATGAACGAATAAGTAAAAGTTTGTTCAAATAGCATTTCTTCCCTCACGAGAAATACTGCTCTAATTTCTAACTATAATTGGCTAAAGGAGATGTACAAAGAAAAAAAAGAAGAAAGAAAATTTGAAATGTTCTACCCTGAGGAAAAAAATGAATAATTTTGCAGATGAAAGGTACTTGTTAGTAGGCTATGAAGTGAAACATGTTCACATGTGTAACATTTCATTTATTGGTACTCTTATAAAACAAGAGACATAATGGTGTTATGTGGAGCTATTTAATAGTGAACTCAAACTGCAAGGCAGATTAATAGCCTAAGCTTTGGCAAGATCCATGAACTCTGTTCTTTAGTTTTTATTGTTTTCATTTTTGTTTTACTTTTTGAAATGGAGTCTCATTTTTATCACCCAGGCTGGAGTACAGTGGCACGATCTCAGCTCACTGCAGCCTCCACCTCTGGGGTTCCAGCGATTCTCTTACCTCCACCTCCCAAGCAGCTGGGATTACAGGCGCGCACCATCACACCCAGCTAATTTTTGTATTTTTAGTAGAGACAGGTTTTCACCATGTCGAAAAGGCTGATCTTGAACTCCTTTCCTCAGGGGATCCACCCGTCTCTATCTCCCAAAGTGCTGGGATTACAGGCATAAGCCACCGTGCCTGGCCTGTTCTTTAGTTATTTAGTGTTATATGATCCTAGTACTTGTCAATCACTGAACTCTACCAAGGGAAAGTGTATGTATATAGAAGATTGTTGACCTGAACATAGGTAGTTCTTTTTTTTTTCTTTTATGTGTGTGCTCTAGATGTCCAGGGAAATTTCTCTAGTAACAAACTATAGAAATGATCCTTGAAAGTATAGTCTTTATAAATGAAATTCTTGACCATTAAATGACAAGCTAATCAGAGTCTCTTCCTGTCTGTTCCACATACCCGTACTGAGCTACAACCTAGTTGTTGCAGAGCGTGAAGTTTCTGCTCCCCAACTGAATGTTGATTTTCAAGACTAAATCCTCATGGATTTTAAGTAAAATTCTATGTTTAGGAAACAAACATTGTGTTACTGAAGAAATGCTGCCGCAAACTGATTCTAATTCAAAGGACTTAAATAACAGGTATAGAAGAAGCAGATATCAAGCAGCAGTTCCATGTACTTACCCCGAACAGTAACGATATCGTCTCTGATGCTGCAAATTTTGTTATAACTAATTGGAATAGATCTACTTTTTAAAAACCTTGGGAAATAAGATTCATATTTTCAAAAATCAAAAACATTGCTATAAAGCCTAGGCAATATAGATATAATTCTTTTGTTTTTAAATTAAGGGAAGAATAATACAGAAAATTTCATTACAGAACAACTATGTTATTTTTTAGAGTTTCTCCCGATATTAACATTTGCTAAGCGAATGAGCATTAATTTAATATTTCCCTAAAAGTTAAGAACAAAACATAGGAAATAAGCAAAAACCATTTTACAGCCCTTAAGTAAACTCTGTTTTCCTCTTCTAGGACTGAAAAACTACACTTGTCAAGACTAGTTTTTTAAAAGCGACTTGCGCAAACTATATTCAATTTTCATCATTTCTACAGAAAAATGAACTAGAACAAATGAAACCCTGTAGGAATGGAGTGGTCATTGCCGCATCCCTTACATTTGCCTCTCCATGGGATTTCTGGCTTCCTTACCTTCTAACTTCTTACGGAGAAGCAGACAGAACTGTGTCGTGAAAATCTTACTGCTGGTTCAAGTCCCAGCAGGCTCTGGTCATTTTCTGAGCAGACGCTGTTCCCTACTCCAGGTCAGGGTACACTATGCTAATGAGTTCTGGCAATGGGCCAATCAAAATCTAGATGCTCTAGGCTCTGGATAGGTAAGAGCAGCCTGGGAGTCACTTAACCAGCCTGATTCTTCTCAGAATGCCAGCAATGTGATGAATATTCTATGATGTATCTCTGAACTTCCCCCTCCCTTTATGTTATGAGGACATTCGAACTAAAACGGACATTGAAAAGAACCTCATGAGGAAGTACAGAGTTTTTCTTCTTGTGATGTTACAGGTTGGGCCCCAGGCAGACGATTCACAGTAGGTCCTAATTCTCCCACTGTTTACGCGGCAGGTCATAGTTCTCTCTCGTGTGTGCGAGAGAGAGAAGACAGACAGAGAGAGAGAGATATTATGGTGAGGAAATTTACTGGAATAGACAGTGGACAGTCAACATCCTCTCTACCAGAAATACTGAAATGCTATCTTAACCCTAGCAATAATGTCCCACTACTTCTGAGTGTTCTAATCCCCTAAAAATACACAATTCTTGGTTGGGCGTGGTGACTCACGCCTGTAATCCTAGCGCTTTGGGAGACTGATGTCGGCGGATCATGAGATTAGGAGATCAATACCAGCCTGGCCAAGATGGTGAAACCCCGTCTCTACTAGAAATACAAAAATTAGCCAGGTGTGGTGGCACACGCCTGTAATCCCAGCTACCTGGGAGACTAAGACAGGGAACTGCTTGTACCCGGGAAGCGGAGGTTGCAGTGAGCTGAGATCGCATCACTGCACTCCAGCCTGGATGACAGAGTAATAATAAGGCTCCATCTCAAAAAAAAAAAAAACAAAAAACAAAAAAACAAACAAAAAACCCCAATTCTTTCTTCTAGAGATACTCTCAGTGCTATTCTTACTTTCAGTGACATCCGCAGTACAGCCTAAATCAGTTCAGTTCATCTGTTTTGTTCTAGGTAGTCTGCTAGGCCTTGGCAACACAAGAGAGAATGAAAGCCATTAAGAAGTTCATTCTAGGCCGGGCGCGGTGGCTCAAGCCTGTAATCCCAGCACTTTGGGAGGCCGAGACGGGCGGATCACGAGGTCAGGAGATCGAGACCATCCTGGCTAACCCGGTGAAACCTCGTCTCCACTAAAAAAATACAAAAAACTAGCTGGGCGAGATGGCGGGCGCCTGTAGTCTCAGCTACTGGGGAGGCTGAGGCAGGAGAATGGCGTAAACCCGGGAGGCGGAGCTTGCAGTGAGCTGAGATCCGGCCACTGCACTCCAGCCTGGGCCACAGAGCCAGACTCCGTCTCAAAAAAAAAAAAAAAAAAGAAGTTCATTCTAGTAGAAAAGATGAACAAAGCTACTAAATAAGGCCATTTAAAATTGATGCATAGAATAGAAGTAATATAAATGAGAAGGCTATTAAGCTGGAGGGAGGAGAACCAGAGAAACCCACCAAAATGATGCTTGATGAGCCTTTTGAAGGACAAATAGATATTTATCAAGGCACGAAGGACTGGAAGAAGGTGTTTAGGGGAGTGACAATATCTTGGACAGCATGACGAGGGATCAGTACCTGTCAGGAAGGTCCAGACTCTCAAGGATGAGGATTAGGAAGCAGAGATGAGAAGACCAGAAGGCAAAAGGCTTGGAACGCCTCATAGTTGCATTCAGCGGCCCTTAATAGAGTTCCCATTTGTCTTTCAGTTCATGAACAAATTCCTTTCCTGCCTGAAGTTTAAGACCCTGCTTCATTTTTTTTTTTTTTTCAAATGGATTTTCAGTCTTGTTGTCTAGGCTGGAGTGAATTGCGCTATCTTGGCTTACTACAACCTCTGCCTCCTGAGTTCAGGTGATTCTCCTGCCTCAGCCTCCCGAGTAGCTGGGATTACAGGCATGCACCACCAAGTTCGGCTAATT